TAATCCAATGATTTCGACAAATTTAATCATTTTTCAATGCACAAAGTAAAATGTATATTAGGTACATAAATATGCAACCGAAATTTGCTCATTGCTTGTCCTAATCCGTGGGAAGTACACACATATCTGAAGTCGTTTTTTTTTTTTTTTGTTTTTTTTTGTCATAATATCAACACCTAACGCAACTTAAAAGTACTTTCCTTTCCCGGCTGGGGATGAAAAGTGGATTTATGTTCAGAGTCTGAGGCATAGAAATCCATAAGTGAATCCAAATTTACCACCTACATCTGCTGTGAAACTGAACCCGCTTGGGTAAGAAGACGATATTCTGCGCTTGGTTGTGGTTAAAATCGGATGAAACGGCTATTATTAAACGTTACTAGGAATAATTAATCGATTTGATAGATTCAACTTTGAAAAAACGGCCCAAAATATCAAAAAGAGCAATACAAGGTCACATTTTTACATGATGTCCGTCCATCTACCCATACAGGAGTATGTGATCCACATTGTAGGGTCCACCGAATCTATTTTAGTATTAACACATATTTAGACAGATAGTAAATGAGGAATGTACAGAAAAGGTTTCAACATTCTGTCCTGTCTACGTTAACAGTGCTAAGGAGAAAACGTATAAAAAATGAAAGAAACCAAAATTTGATCACTTATAACGTTGTGTGGGCTTAGCTCATTCTCTCCATTTAAATTTAAATTATAAAGTAAATATAGAATATTTCACCCCTCCATCTTTCATAAATCATGAGCAATAAGCATAAGCAAAAACCTGCTAAATTTAGGTTAGAAAAATATCGATGTCTCCAGTTCACGCTTTACTGTGGGCGTGTGCTTTAACCAATTTGTCCGACTTTCAATACAAATCTACATACAAAAACTTCCAGTGTTTTTGTCAAATTTGAAGCCGATAGCTTGGCCTTTTCCGACCAGAGGATTTTTTACCGCAGACATTACAAAGATAGACGGACATGCTCAAATTGGTTTGCAATTTGATGCTAATCAAGAATGTATATACTCTATGGGGTCTCTGGAGTTTTCTTCTCTGTGTTGCAAACGTTGCGACAAATAGCTGATTTCTTCTAAGCTTCAAACTTTCTTCTCAATGTAGGTATTTAAAAGTGCACTAAACATGAAATATCAAATGAAAAAAAAAACTTAATAAATTGGAAAGTTCTCTATAATTTTTTTTTAGGATGTGCCCTATACATGTAAGCGCGATGATGGGCAGGTAGGATTATCGCTGGAGAGAAATGGAAAGAGGAAATAGTGCCTGTGTACGTTTAACTTGAAGGTGAAACAATCACGCACGATCGGAAAGACCACTGCTGGTAGATGGTTCCAAAAGCGGACAATGTAGTTAAAAACGGATGACTCGCAGTATTGTGTCGCACTGTGTGCAGGCATTTCCAGGAACGTTGAGAACGCCTCGTAGTCCTGGTAAAGCACTTAATTGGTGGATATATCTCTTTTATGTCTTTGCAACACTTGCCCTAAATGTAGTTGTACATAAGCACCACACGAGCAACATTACGCCGAAGTTCGTGGGTATAAAGAGTTTCGGGCACACTTTCATCACCAATCAGCACAAGCAAAATTTTGGAGGCTGCCGCCCATACATCCGAGTTACACTCTAATTTTGCCTGGATATAAGCGATGCAAATTGTATAAATATCGGATGTAAACGTATTCAAGGGTCGCCAATAGTCCTTTTTATGCGTCAGGGCACATATGTGCCCTATATACTTACTTTCCATTGTGACCAAAAATTGGAGGCAAATTTTCATTTTTTTTAAATATAATTATGTTTATTGTTTTATATAATTTTTAATGATTTATTATTTTTTATTGTGACAATTGAATTAAAAACATTTAGATGGTTAATAGTTAAAGATATATATATATATATATATATACATATATATATATATATGTTAGATATACATAAACACTCACACACATTAAATTTACTGATTAGAGAAGAAGTGTTGTTTAAAATTTTTATCTTATTTTTCTTTCCCTTTGTTTGTTTTCGTAACTATAATAATGAGGACTAAACAATTCAGAGAGTAAATGGTGTTAGGATATGTCATTAAATATTGTTGTTTTGTTTTGTTTGTTTTTTTTTTTTTTAATGTATTGCAGTAATAAAATTTGCTAATGCAGTCTCTTTGGAAACTAAAACAAGACTATAAAAAATTCCTTTTTCATATATCATATTATTTAATGAAAATAATAATAAAAAATAATGATAAAGAAATTGACTATTCGACTATTTTTTAAGGGGCTTCTGCATATTTAAAAAAATTAAAAACTAAACAAAAATGTAATCAAATTATCTTCATGTTTATAAAGCTAAGAAATTATTATAAAAAGAAAAAATATATATATATTTGACATTTAAAAAACATGCAACCTTAAGATCCTCAATGCAACTCTATTCGCCATAAGACGAATCTTTGTTAACCACCACTTAAGGTATGAAATTCATTAAACTTTACTTTGGTAATTGCACAGGTATTAGTAAGCTAATCGACAAGTCATTTCGCTCTTTCCCAACAACACATTTAATTGCATTTTTTGATAAGCCAGCACACTTTTAAGGCGCACTGTCCTCATATATTGAATAGCTGATGTAATAATACTTGTATGGAAAACATATTGAACTGAATCTGACCAAGAAGTTCCGCTCGATGCCTTACTAAATATGGAAAACCGCAAGCAGCTTTTTGGCCGTACTTTACTCCTATTACTAGCGGAGTGGTAAAAATGATTTCCAAGCATGGATGAAGAGACCGCCAATGCCAAAACTAATTTGCAAAATTTCGTTTCGCTGCTTTTGCATCACATTCGTTGGAAGGCAAGTAGGAGCTGATAAAGACAAAATTAAGCGTTAATTGAAGCAAAGCGCCGACTGACAACTCACAAGATCAATGAGAGTTTTAATCTATTGAATTCTACTGAACGAAATATCTCTCCAAATCAATCCAAATTGACTTACGCACAACGCTACTCCAAAACTTGTTTACTATCATATAGGAAGGAACACGATAAGTTTAGGTGAGGAGCAGTTGCGATAATGACTTGACTTTACTCTGTCGGGCACTTTGACAACGAGATGACTTTAACAAAAAAAAAAAACGGTGGGGGATTACGATTCGTTTGGATATTGCTAGTTTCTGCAAAGATCGTCATATAATGTGAAAATCAATGCCTCACAACGGCTTTTGTTACTTGCACACCCCGATCTAAGAAAAGATATCAGGATAGAAGTGATAACAATTTGTCCATTGAAGAAATGCAAATCTATAATTGATGGACAAAAAATGCTACGATATGCAAGCTTAATTGAACTTTGACAATGCATCAAAAATTGTCTAAACACGTTTAAAGCAATCAAATACTCAAAAGCCTTAGACCAAAGTATTACACTAAACGGCCTAAAAACATCCTTTCAGTTACAGAAGCGGATCCATGAAAAATTTAAGTCTTTGCAACATACTGGGAAAGTTTTGATTGGTTTATTTCCCTAACTGCTGAACGGAAGACCGCCCAACAAAGCAAGCGTGTGCATGAGACTAGAGAATGTTACCTTTTGCGATCACAAGCAACTATTACCCAAGCCAGGCAACCTTAAGAATGTACAGGCTCGTAACTAGATTACTTCTCGTCTAATTAAAAGGCAATAAAAGATCTATCAATGATAACATTATGTATTCCAAGGTACCCCCTGATTCGACCTATACTCACTCAGCCACCTTTTCTGTTTATGTTCTGCCCGACGGCAAAGTAAGCCACCTCGGAAGGACTTCCTTGGAATGTTCATCATCTCCTGTCTCCACTTGCTTTGTTCTTCTGGCGCTTTTGCCTTCGGCACAATTCCTTTCCTACATTACGTGACATATGCAAGCCATCGCGCATGTCCCCCCTCCCTCCTATCATCTAAACATATGATATGTAATGAATGCCTTTTAGCTAAGAGCATTGGAAAATTTTCCTTCTTTTTTTGTTTTTTTTTTTTTTGCTGTCGAAGACACACTATGTAGCGCAAACGCTATCATAATTTTGTCTTTGGAATATTATGGCTTTCAATAAAAATTTTATATTTTGTTTTAATCGCTACACAAAGTTTTTTACACAATTTTCGTGCAAGTCACATAAGAAAGACATAATGTGCACTTTTTTTCTCCTTTAGTGGTGGTGGGTGTAATGACATAAGGTGCTATAAGGTGAGCTTAAAAAAAAAAAAAAAAAAAAAAAAAAAAAAAAAAAAAAAAAAAAAAAAGAATAAGTCAATAGCATTTGTTGAATAAATATAGAAGAAAGAAATCCAGTTGAACTTTCTTTGCTCTTTCAGGCACTTCTGGTATTTGAAAAATTATGAGAAGAGATAAATTGCAGGCGAGTATTTATTTTAATTAATTGATTAATGAATTTCAAATGCAAAGTTTTAGTTTAGAATCAAAAATTTTATTGCCTTACACTTATTGAAACCAGCATGCAGCACATTTATTTGTCTTTCCTTGTTTGTCACTATTTCTTATTTAAAAATAATAATTTGAGAAAAGCGCGTAAACGTTTTAAAGCCCTTTCAACAGTGGCAGTAGTACTGATAGAATACGAGCGAAGAATATAAACAAAACGAAATACATATATATATATATATATATATATATGCGTATGTATATAAATTCATAAATTTTATATATTATATAAAGGAATCACATAGCCCTGCCGTGAGCTATTCATTTATGTTGTGTCTACGATCATGAAACTATAATGGTTATATAAAATTTCACTTTTGTGAAATGAAAACATTTTGATGTTGCATTAATATAATCGGGGCAAAGGGAATTAATTGTGTTATGCGTTTAAAACATTTACCTGAATTGTTGGTTTTTTCTTTTTCTTCTTTTTTTTTTTTTTTTTTTTTTTTTAAGTAAGCCTTAATCAGACTATCAAATTTTTTATGTATATATATATATTATAAATGTATATAAAAATCGACGCCGAAAATTGTGAATTTTCAATCAATAGATTTTTCAAGTTTACATGATTAAATTATTGGGTTATTCTAATAACGGGATACTTGAATTTATATCTGTTAAATTAATATGAATTTTGTTTTTCTTTTATAAAATACCAATAATTGTCTTAAATATTTAAAAACCGAATAACCAGATTGTTTTTTACAATTAACCGGATGATCTCTTCTAAAAGAGTTACCGGTATTTCTTTATTTTTCCATTTTTTTCTTTAAACAAAAACAACTTTTGTTTGCTTAAGTTACTTCCGAATTATGTGAAGGTATTTGCTTTACAATATTATTTTATTATACTGTTCGCATTAAATTAGAGGCCCTGAACTTGATATAGATCTTTAATGCGTTTAATGCGATTTTAAGATGTTTTAAACAAGTATTCATCTACAGTTAAAAGTTACAAAGACATACTTGGCGACGTATGCAGTCCAAAGTTCAACGTTGGACATCGGAGCCAGCGAAAGTGAAACGAAAAAAGGTGATATTTTCAAACATATTGTGTTATTGATAACTTACCATCTATAACAGTTAGCAACCTCAAGTGTGACATAAATATTTATTAAATCTATTTTATTTACTATGTGTTCGTGTGTGTGTATATGTATGTCAGACCTGCTGTTGTATGCAGCAATAATCGTTTAGTATCAAACGCATCGTATCTGCGCCTAAATCCATCATGATTTTCCTAATTTTATTGGACTGCCGCCAAATTCCCAGCAGTACTTGTTATTTCCGGCAATTTATTCACTTACACTCAGCTATATTAGTTTTAATATGACAGACAGTCCACTGTTTATCCTGACGGTACCGTAGATTCTAATTTTCACTCTGTATATATATATTTTCTTCTGCCGTTTATTATATACAAGTCGAAGTTACAGATATAACCCGTCTTAGACTCAGATACCTTTCTATTTAAAATTTCATATCTAAATAGTCTTATGGGATTATATACTCAGAAGTTTGGTTGACCGCTCAATGCAATCATTCCCTCATCTAACGGCAAGCTTTGAAAGCGAGTGTATACCTTATTTATTTGCGAGGAAATGAAAATTAACGGTTGTCGAGACAAGTGAATGCATGCATACGGGCATTAATTCACATTCAACGAAAACCACAAACGTGGGCGCGCGGGAGTTTCGTGAAGTTTAACAAAATACACAAGCATATGCACACGGTAGGTAACATGTTAATTGTAGTATTATGCAAGCACGAAAGTAAAGTGAATCGTAATGCGAAAAACGCATTATTAGCATGCAGCTAAAGGAGCTATATAAGAACCACTAAGTTTTTTGTTATGGTTCCAGACACTTCACATGGGCCTATATATTATATTTTCCCATAAAACTTTTAAATGGATTCAATAAACATTTATACGGAATTGTTTCACTGCTATATGGTATAAGTTATTAATAATCATATATTTGGTTCTTTTTTTAAGTTCACGAATCATGCCACATCTTCGAACTCGGATGGTTAGATTAACGAACATTAATATTAAACATAGGCATTCGATTGATTATTTCTTATAAAATCGATCTTCTTTCTCAAAATTTGATCGGTATATATATTTTCAAGTTGCATTTGTTTTATTTTCAAGAGAACTTAGAAGAGATTATATAAAGTAACATCGATTCTATGAGAAGCACATGTGTGCAAACTCGTATTACCGCATGCCTTTTTTTGTTTTTCTCAATTTTTAATATTTACAAAAGTAGATTGTCCGAACTAATTATTATTAATCTGAACAATATGCCGTAAGTACTCTGAAATATCATTAAGTTTGTTTTCTTTTTTCTTTTTTTTTTTTTTTTGTTTCTTATGTAAAGCTTTACGAATATTAAAGTTCAGGTACTCTTAAATAATTTGAGATATGCTTTTCGAGAATAATAAGAATGAAAAGAAATGAAGGAATAGTTTTTATTGGCGCATAAATAAATGAAAGAAATGATAATTTAGTGGGATGGCGTACAATGAGCGTCCAAAACTTTCTGGGCTTAAAAAACCGGCATAAAGAAAACTGGTTGACTAAATTTATTATATGTTGTATGTTTTAGCAAACGAGCAAGTCCCACGAATAGTAACCGGCTTTATGAATTATGAAATGATGCCAATTGTCTTCTACTACCACTACCCAGTAATTAATGAATTTTTTTAGTGATAATACGAGAAAAGAACCATTTTCCCCTATACTTTACGCGTGTTTAGGGAAATAACAAAGGAACAGTTAACCAGTTAATAAAATTTGCGCGGTTTTTTTTATCAGTCTGACATTCGTGTAATAATCTTTTTTATTTTGTTTTTATTAACTATTTTCAAATTAAAAAAAAAAAAATAATAATAATAATAATAATAACAATAATCTACGCAAGATTTGAAACCCGGTTATTCGGTTCTCCTTTCACTAAAATATACAGTTTTGATAGAAAAAACCTAATTGATCTGGCACACAGTTAATCATCTACATAATATCCGACCAACCGGTTCTTTTCCATTTTAGCATTTTTTTTTTTTTCTTTTACATTTATAATTCTATTTAAAACACGCCTTCATTACATGCGATTAAACATTGTCAAGTGATGCCTATTTAGCTACACACGTGACGTTTGCTTTCAAAATTTAATGATTTTTTCTTTCTTATAAAAATGTTTGTATTTGGCTTTTTAGCATTTCATAATTTGTTTAACTTAGTATTTTCTTTTTAATCAACGAAACAACAAAACTTATGAAATATGAAAAAGCTGCATAGAATACAAAGCTCTGTGGATGTATTTTAAGCAATTTATACCCACCACCGGAAGTTCATCTTACATCAAGTCTGTTTCCTTAAGTTTGGAAAATATATACATTTTCGTCAACGTATGTATTCGAGTCAACTATATTGATGAGCAATCTGTCCTCGGCCATCTTAATTAAGTTGGCACGATATGTTGAACTATGGGCAAACACCGTGAAAAACTTTCCATCGAATATACGTAGAACACATTTACGGATAGGTCTTTGGTAAATGAAAGATACAAAACCAAAACTTTCCAACTCTAGTCAAAATTAGTTTACAACGTACGATTGAGAACGCAAAATCGCCGATAGCTAATTTTGCCCAGGTATAAAAATATGCGAATCTTTTCACAAAACGCAAGCTTCATACATTATGTGAATGTTTATATTAATACATGCATTAATCTGGTGGAATTCGTTCTTTCTTTCTTTTTTTTTTTCTTTTGTTTCTTACAATGCAGGTGGTGACCAGAAAAATATTCGATCAAACCCGAATACCTTTTGCTCTGGTTTTAAAATGAACTCTTAAATTATTGATCTAAAATTATAATATAAGTAAAATTGCTTAAATCCTATAGCTAAGGTTGTGTTTGGTCAACTAAATGAATAACAGGGGTGCTCGTAGTCATAGTAACAGTAGTCGCTGCGCTGTTAACCAGAGGAGGATTAACAACTACAGCTGGGATTGCTGAATTATTTGTAGTAACATCGTTTATATTACCTACGTTACTCGTGGTAACTGAATCGGTAGCGAGTTCACCGTTTTCCAGAGGTTTGTGGGAATAACGGCAAGATGGGGTTAAACATTTACAAGAAAAATAGCGATTTTTTACCAACCAAAATTTATCGCCATAATCAAAACTATAAAAGAAAGAAAGAGAAGTTTTAGTGAATTTTTGAAATTTTTATATTTATATATATATATATATATATATATATATATTTTAACTCACCAAATTTCTTCGCCTGCCTCTATTTCTCGACAGGTAAAGAAGGCTATTTTTGGAAAACGGTAGTCTTGGTGCTCGTAAAACACTCTAACCGGAATTATGTTCGGTTCACAGGAATGATTAAAAAAACGACTAACATTTCCATAATAATTTGCGTCAATACAATGGTTATGACCCAAATCAAAAAAATAACTGTCGTCCATTCGACGGTCAGCCTCGAGATCCGTTAAAATTTCGCCAACATATCCAGCTACAAAGCTGCCTTTAGGTACTGGTATTAAAGAGCGTACACCCCAGCCTTTAAACGAATCCTCGCATTCGATAACTTGAAGTGGTATGCGTACACCATTCTGAACCACGCGATTTTTACAAGACAGCTACAAATAAATAAAGAGAAAATAAATTTCCGACCATTTTCACTATTTCGTTTTCTTTACCTTATTGCAGCCACATACGTCATTACATTCGAATATAAGGGCTGGATCGTCATAATTAAAATCTGAACACAAACGGCCCTCGGCTGTGTACCAACATTGTACCGATGCTCCCGTACACTGACACTGATCAGTAGAACAGCTATTAAAAAAAACAATGCGATACAGTTAAAATGAATCAAGCTTCTCTTATTCACCTACCCATCCATGCATGTACAAATGCGCATTTGCGATACGCGTTTATCGATTTGCACTGAATTCTGGAGTATTATAGTATCCGTAATGTAACGAAAATCGGGCCACATAATCTGGTCCGATTCGTCAGCTGAGACACCTTCACTACCCTCAAAATTAATATCATTCCGTAACGCCTGTATAGGTCTTAATTCACGTCCATTACTTATATCTCCGCAAACAATGCGAGTACGCTGAAAATCTCGGGGATGAAAAGCGCGCATTTGCATATTAAAACCCACAGTACGGGCGCACTCCGAATCTTCATTTGGTATACAATCATAAGGCAATTCATCCGAACGATTTCTCAGTAGCAAGTCCGCACCGTTAGCTATTAAAGCTATACACAAGCGGGTACTCGAATGGTGGCAAGCAATATGCCTAAAAGAACCAAATTCAGTTTTAGTAAGTAAAAGCAGAAATTTGCCAGCATTTTTACAATGGTGTTTCTCCTTCAATATTTTGTATGTTACAATTAATACCGGCCTGCAGTAATATTGTAATGGTATCCAAATCATTGTTATGTAAGGCAGCCCAATGCAGTACAGTATTGTTATCATTGTCGCATATGTTAGGATCAGCACCCTGCTGCAAGAGAAGGCTATTTTTCGAAAAATTCTTTTAGAAAATTTTCTTTAAGCATTTAAAGACAACCTTACTTACCTTACTATGCCAGTATGACCCAATTCGGCGGCCCAGACCATAGCAGTCCACCCTCCATCATCTTGAGCATTAATAAAGCTTAAAAAATTTGAAATATTCTTCGAAGCCTTATAACTAAATACTAATAACTGGGTAATTTCTAGATTTCCAGTCTGAGCAGCTATATGCAAAACGGTGCGACCATCAGGACCCTATATAGGTTAAGGCAAAATTATCGCAACATTCGCCCTTGCTTATATGAAACCTACCTTTACCGCCAAATCAGCTCTACTTTGAGCGAACAAATTTACTAAATCGCATTTCTCTTCTTTAACGGCACACATAACCGCTGTACGCAATTCACGATCCAATACATTGATAACATCCGGGTTGGCCGCCTTACATAGCAACAAATAAGCCATTTGCAAAGTGCCGAAATGTGCCACCAAATGCAAGCAAGTGCCATTGAAAAATTCCCGCATAGGCGTTGCCACATCATAATTTGAAGCTATTGAAAATCAATTAAAAAAAGTGCATTCGTCTTGAAAACAGTTTTGAATAATCAAAAATTAAATTTTTGTTTTTGGTGAAGGTATCGGACCCATTTTCACATCACATTTCCACGTAGTAGAAATTAGTGATAAGAACGTGTTGAAATGTCGCACATCTTTTCAATATAGCTTCAGCTATGCTACAGCTATCGTGAGCGTGCATAGAGACGATCAAGCCATTTCCCAATTTGTAAACTGCATCCAAATATATATTCGACATGTTTGTGCTTTATATCTGCTTTTTGCGGCCTTGATAATTTTAGCAAGAAAATACGGACGGACAGAAATGACTAACTGGAATATATGTATAGATCGTGGGGCTCTAAAGCGTTTATATAATAACCCCCCCCCCCCCCCTCCACCCTTCCGCGACGGGCATGAATATTAACAAATTTTCGCGAGCAATGTTAGCCTTAGTTAATTTAATCTTTTTCTTCTTACCCAGTATCTCTGCTACCCTCTCCAGGTCATCGTTTTCTATAGCGTAATACATATCACGGGTAGTAAATTCAACTGCATTTTTATTACGTGACATAGACGCGGTACTTTGACGCCTTACCGCCACATTCATTACCGACTCCGGTATCAGTTGCTCATAGTTGATCATCATAGGCCGTGGTAGTGGAGGCGGCAATAGAGATGTGACTGCTGTTGTTGTTCTTAGTTTTGTTTGACCGCTCTGATTATCTATACATCCGTTAGTGCTGTTAACGTTAGTATTTAAGGTGGCTGTTGTTGCTTTCATAGTCAAACTTGCTGCCTGTATTCCGTTGCTGTTATGAATTCCGGCCATTTGCAAGGACGTGGATCTTTGCGTTGTTGAAAACACTGGCAATGTTTGGCATTTCATTGTTACCATCGACGTACGCTCCGGCGTGTCCACACCACAGTGTGGACACTTAAGGACTAATGTTGGACTAGCTTTATGACCTGCGGGCTGCTGTGGATCGTACTTACTATTAATAATAAATTTTTGGGCACATTCAGGATGAAAGAAATGACGATGTTTGCAGAGAGTAAATTTGCCCTGAAAAACAAATTGAAGTGAAAGCTAACTATTCAAGCATATGTTTTAATCCTTATTCCACATCATGTTTTTAAAGCACATTCAATCAACCTGATTTTGCAGTGATAATTAAAAGTCTTTACTTATTTCCCTGGGAAAATCTTGTTATACTCTTTTCGGTTATAACGGTTGTCTATCCGTTTTATTTGCGTTCATTTGTGCTTAGCTTCATTTTTCATCTTGAGCTTCTTCTTTCGGGGCTTGCCTAGAGACAATTTAATAATTTGGCGGCTACTTGTTGTACTCTCTACGGCTCTGATAGGGAGCCTTCCGAATTTCATAAACTGTAATTTAGTTATTACACATTATGAAATTGTCGGTATGTCTCAGGCCGCCGCGTTTTCTGCGTTCCCTTTTTTCTTCTGCTCTGCTCTCGATCAGTCTTTTTATTTACTTCATCCCCACTTAATTTATTACAATATTTTTACGGGACATTTAAACTCATTTAATCTTCCTCCTACTAAATTCTACAAGATCTAAATTAAAAATTTCAAACGCCAAATTTTGGACGTTCGACTATCAGTGGCACGAGAATGACAGTATTTTCAGTCTTCGTATCATAACACAATCATATTACAGTTCAAAGATTCTTACCTGTGTGCAGAATATACCGCAACCAGCACAGGAATTATGAGACTGCAATCGTTTCTTATGATCATCGCATAATACTAAATAGCCCACCCGTTGACTAGGACGAAATAATTGCAGAATTTCACCGTTCAATTGATTACAACATCCCACCTTCTGTTCATCGATATTATCAATTGCACAACAATACTGCGTCTCCGGAGTATTGCGTGTATAATAATTAGAGGATTTTTGGCATAAACAAATCAAGCTACGAGCAGGTTTGTTAGAAGCACCAGGAACGGTGGCGGAACTTGAATTAATTGCAACATTTCCTGTGGATTCCAAAGCATTGTTAAGCGTTTTTGGTTGTTGACAATTAATTCCTACAGATTTTTCTGCCAACTTTTGTCTCTGAGTCCGACGAGCCGTTGTACTCAAAGTTGTTGTTGTTGTGGTTGTTGTGGAAGTGGCAATGGATGTTGCAGTCATGGTGACACTGTTTGTCGATTTTGTATTATTAATTAACTGAGGTTGAGGCGTTGCTTCCTTGCCAGTTCTTATACGGAGAGTAACACTAGGTTTAGGCACTTGTACTCGAGTGGTGGGTACAAACTCCTCACTGTCACTGAGACTATCCAAATCGGTGCCATCATCGCTGCCATTACGACGCAAACCCAGCTTCTCTAAATGTTTCTCTTTTTGTTTCGCCAATTTACGTTGCTGCTTTTTGCTTAATTTGCGATCTTCCGGCGACCGATTCAAATTTAATTTCGCTGTTTTAATTTCATGCAAAAACTTGTCTATATCGGGACAGAGTTTACGTGAATTTTGTGCCGCGTCTAAGGCCGCCCCAGAATTTTCCAAATCTCTTTTAGTTTTAGCGAATAGCTTCTTTTTTATGGCGTTCGTTCCCGATGGATGGCTGTCATTGCTTCCGTCAGACTTTTCGCTTCTCTGTTTCGAAGAATTCGTATACTTGTCCAGACTGGCACTATTGTTGCCAGCACCACTTATCTGATGTGTAGGTGTGGTTTCGTTCAGCTCACTATTTTCCCAAACTTGAGCTGTAATGCGTTCAATATTTTTAGTTTCAAATTCGTAACGTAGTTCATCGTTCTCCAAAATTTTTGTGGTAGGTTTTATGCGCCTTTGAGAACGTTTCGGTACCACGGTGTCGGTGACTGGAAGAGTGGTGCCACCACGTTTATTAGACATAATATTGTGTCCATGAGGTGATACTTGTTCAGTATTATTGTTGTTGTTATTGTTATTGGAAATTTGCCGTTGTAAAAGTTTTTCTGCTTCTATTTGTACTTTAGCTTTGCGGCCACGTTTTCGCGGGGGAACTTTTTCGTCGATGGCAAAGCGCAAAGACTTTAAGTCACTCTGCGAACTTTCTACAGCTTTCAAAGTATCAACTGATTCTACTTTTTGCTCTTCCTCCTGCAAAACAATATGCAGATTTTGAAAACAAATACATTTACAGAACGTTTGCGTAAGCTTACCAAAATTTTAAAACCATCCAAACGATTACCTAATCGCACACTACGTCTCATACATTTGCCATCTTCTTCTTCATATTTCATAATGTGGCCCAACTGATCATTGTCTTCATCGTTTTGTTTACGCTTACGGCCACCGACTTTGCGTTCATTACTGGGTGAAATTTCATTCGCTGTTAGCTCTTTCGGTTGACTTTCCTGCCCTTCATTAGTATCGACTTTTCTCGCTCTACCACGCCCACGTCGAATAGGTGTTACAAGTGTAATAGTTGCTACATTATTAACTACAACAGGCTTTTCAACGTTTTCCTCTACTTCATTGGAAACTTCATCATGGGATTTTTGCACATGCTCTTCCTCATCAATATTAAAGTCAACAGATCTGCAAGAGCCACGTAAGCGACGTTGAGGACTGAGGCTTGCGGAACGGGAGGACTGAAAAGCCAAAAAAAAGGCAACTCATTAGCTTGTAGCGTAGAGATCAATGCTAATAAAACACTAATGCCACGATAATAAATTTAGCAAAAAGTAATTGATTTGAGCTTATAATTTCAAATAAGGCTCAATGGAAAATGGAGTTCATCTATATCAAGACAAATCCAATGCTAACAAATTTTGAACTAACCGGTCAAAAAGACAAAACAATTAGTAATTCGCTTGGACATGAATTCAATTGGCGAAATTTTAAATTTGTCGAAACCGGAAAGGTTCGCAATCGATCGATTGTTCCAAAGAGATAAAATGATATTTGCATAACAATATTTGAGATCTGATAAAATTTTATTCCAACTGTCGTCGCTATTCATCTGGCGAAATCTTCAAAAGAAACACACACTTCCACCAGACAGCAAAAACCATATACATACATATATTCAGCTACAAATAATAAAAAAATATTTAATTTGGGTCATAGAAAGTTACAATCCAGTAAGTCATAGTATTATATAATTTAGGTATCAAGAAGGGGAAGAAGAAGAAGATGGGATCGTTAGCAATGTTAATATCAACTAATCACATTAAGTTACAAAACTTGATAACCACTCTTAAAAAAGTGAAATGAAAGTGGATTTAATAAAATCTAATACAATCAATACATCGGTCAATAATTGCTGGGACTGGCACATAAGTGTTACCTCTAACGAAAAAAACCCATATTACCTTTGAAAAAATGCCAAACGAAAAGTTGCGTAAAAGTGCAACAGATAGCCGACATCCCAAGGACATCAAAACGCCGATATATTGCATGAAAAGTTGGGCGGGAGGAAACTTTTTGCCAAATGTCTACGACATGTATATTATATTTATATATGTACAGTGGAACAAACACAGTCGGGATCGCAAATCAGTGGTGGAAATGGCGATCAAATTTTTGTCTTATCCGTCGAGAAACTATTATAACAATACTTCGGGGAAAAAGATTTCGATCAAACGATGAGGCAATTTTGGGAGTATTACAGACTCATTCTACAAAAAAAGGTATCACAGGGTTAAAGACGCATCGGATTTATTGTGACATAATCGCGTTTTAAAGCGGACTATGTCAATTTTTTTTCTTTTTTTTTCTTACTTAGCCATGAAAATTACTGAATGTGTTATAGCTAACCTAAACGAAAATCGTATTAACCTATTAACGTACGTATTTTGCTATCATATATAAGAAATTTACAAAATTCTACTACTTACACTTTTATTAATTTTTTCATCAGTAATATTATCGACGACAGGTTCTGATTTAACGGGATTATCTTCACTACCATCTTTAGTCTTAAGAGTTGTTGGAGCATTACTGTCGGCAGCGGCGACATCATCAACGGCTAAATGCTTCGACGTATTTTCTGAAAATTTACCGACAGCATCATCAAGAAGACAAGCAACAGTGGTACATGTGTTACATTGTTCGCTTGTTTGGGAATTAACTGGATTTATATTCTCGCATGTTTGAGCGTTATCAGCAGTATTGGTAGTAGTGCTAATAGCAGCAGCAGTGGTAGTAGGGGTCGTAATAGTTGTAGCAACAACAACAAGTGTTTTGGTTGTGAGTGCCAATGACGATGTGGAGGAAGAAGAACAAGCGCTAACAGTACTTGTAGTATTTACATCAGTCGTGTATTCATTATGTGTAGTAAACGAGCAGGATGGTGATGTCGATGGCAATAACGATGATGTTAATGTAGTGGTGGTAGTGGTGGTATTATTAATTGCTGTGGTTTTTGTTGTTGCTGTTGTCATCGTTGTTGTTGTTGTTATTATTGTTGTTGTTGTTGCATTCGTTTCTTCTTGTGTAAAATTGTTATCGGACAAATTTTCTAATATATTTAATATGAATTTTTCAGATTTATCGTTAGCAGGGGCGTAAGTAGAAGACGTCGTAGAGGGAACGCAAGCAGATGATTTTATAGGGGAGGTGGTAGTGATAGTAGTTGTTGTTGTTTGCGTAGTGCATTTTGCTAATTGTTGTTGGCCTTGATTTAAATTGTTAACGTTTGTAATAATTGCTGTTGACGCGATATTTAATATTTCCTTTGAAACTGCTGTTTTTTCTGCGTTAGAACTTTGATCCACGTTTTCGTTATCAACATTCTCGATTGATTTCTCTGGCTCGTGATCTTCTAATAGTTCCTTAAAAGTTTTTTCAACGTTAGCGTTTAATTTATCTTCATCTTTTTGCAACTGCTCCTCGTCTTCTTTCTTGTCATTACTTTCATCATTTTTAATTAAGTGCTCTTCTTCCTTTATATCTTTTGTTCTGTTTTCGACCGATAAAGCTTTTATTTCTACTCTACTATTATTAGGCAATGCGCCGTTAATAGAATTATTGGAGCTTGAGATAGTATTATCATTGTCTTTGACTTTCATTATCTTCTTGTCTTTATCTTTGCTGGCAAATTGATTCTTGGACAAGTTACGCCACTTAACAGTCTTATCATCGGTGAGGTCGACCTCTGCATTCGTGGTACATTCGCTATTGAAGGTATTGGACATGCTGCTAAGCAGCGTTTCCAAGCAATCTGTCATGGCTACTGCTCTGTAAGTTACAATACTCTGCAAGCTATTTCACAATTCTTGTTCACTAATTAATTTGTTTCTTTTTTTTTTTACTTGACTTAAGATAATTCAGAAGAATATATCTTGTGAGAATTTGACGTCACTGTGGTCTTTTTGTTTAAAAAAAAAAAAAAACTGCTTAGTTATCGCACGAATTCATGCTTGCATCTTTTTACTAATAAATCATTTCCACTTTTTTTTAGTTACACTACTTTTTAGATCTAATTAAATTTTTTCCTTAATTATTTATAACTCTTTATTAATTAACACCATATCCTCTAATCTTTTTTCTGCTTCATATCAAATCTTTTTATCTCTCTTTCTCTCTCACGCTCTTGAATTTTAGGCACCTTTTTCTTATTCTCTTAACACTTTAACATCTTTTTAAAGATGATTTAAAAATATTTTTTTTATTTATTCTGCATTTTTTCTATTCTCGTCATATATTCGATAACATCTTTATTGATTATGATAATTTTTACATTTTATATTAATTATTCATAATTTTTATTGAAAGAAAATAAATACCAAAATACAAGAATTCTTTTTGTCTTATTTTTCGTCTCACATCGAACCTACGATATACGGTATCAAACCTTACGACATCTAAAGAGTACAAAACAACAGAGTTACCTACTTCATAAAAATGCATCTAATTACTACGAAGTCATAATTCATTCATAAAACGATATAATTACCTACACCAAAGTCTAAGCTTACATATTCATACATATATAAGCCTCAAAATTTAAGAATAAGTTTTTTTTTAACTTTTGTTGCAAGCCGACGACATTTTAACTTCAATTCTATTTTTATTATTTTATTTTCGTTGTAATATTAGCAGTGGTTTGATTTATCCAAGAAATTTTTGATCAACAAAACTTTCTTGCAGCAAGTATATCATCAAAATAACAAATTTTACTGTTCCTTCCCCAATTGAATTTTTTGAATACATGACATTTAAATGTTCTAAAAAATCGCTTTTTCGCCAGAAGAAGAGACTTTTCTTTTTTAAATTATTCTCCTCCTTTATCAAGCACACATCAAATAAATATAAGCAAGTTTGCAACAAAAACTTGTGGGCTATGGAAAAGTCATAATAACTCAAGCCTATCACATTTTCTATTCATATTGACCTATGGAACTAGCGTTACTTATATTGCTAAATTGAATACTTGTCTTACCATATTTAAACTGAACATAACGTTATTCTTTGTGCACGGATAGAGAGAAAATGAAAATATTCACGCTCTTTACACATTTTAACTGAAATGGCGAGTGATTAATAAAAATAAATCTCAATGATTATTTTTCAACTGTATTAAGCATCCTTAATTGTTATAGTTTAGTAACGATAAACATCCGAGTTTTTTTATCGCAAGATATTTACAATATATATGAAAAATGCACATATGCACGCACATGCACTTATGTGAAAATATGTAAACAGTCATTTCCGATTTGATTTTGGGAGAAAATTTTTATATCGCAATTTAGGAGATGAGTATTTCTAAATGGTTTTGCTACAACAAATCAAATAAAACAAAGATAAAAAAATTGAAATAAAGTTTTTTTAACCATTTTCCTATGTATGCACTATATGTTTATAAGTATATTATAGAAATAATTGCGTTTAGCACCATTTTAAATTCAAATTTTTCTAAATTTCTGTTCCTTTATCATGCTATCATATTATAACCGTCAAAGTTTTCGATTGCTTCCACTTTTACCGAAACTAACAGTAAATTAAAATTCGTGCTTTAGATTGCAATTATTTACGATTGTGAGAGTTTCAAGAGCGACGACAAACCAGTCGATCTATTAACGTTAACTCTGATTTTTATGCTAAGAGGGAAAAATAAATCAACTCTGATCAGTGAAGAATATATAAATTATGATGGGTGAAAGTTCCCAACGATTCCCATTCACTTGCATTCATTTGAAATGCCAGGAGGAAAACCTTAAAAATATATAGAAAAAAAGGCATCGTAGTTAGGTCGCTGATCCTTCAGTTCGTTTATCTCAAGCGAAGAAAAAAAACGGGCGAAATCGAAAACCATTTACACCAAGTCAGTGCCCACATCTAAGACTCTAAAAATAAATCAGTAAGAGTAAGAACACAGGGACTTGGTTAAGGAATTTTCGAATTTGAAACCGGTTAAGAATGTATTTACTTTATGAAGTCTGCGAAATTTGCTCCTTAAAACTATAATATTGTGTGGGCGTAGTTGCTTTTTGGACTTTATGAGTATTTATCAAAAAACTATTTCTTATGCTTTTAAGAACAGGCACATATTCAGCTTCTAGGATACTGCACCTGCTTCGACCGGTTAGTCCCATTTTCAATACTAATCGATGGTGAAGAACTTCCAACGTTTTTTTCGGTAGCTTCATCCTCGCATCCCGAAGAATGCTTACAGAAGACGTGACACAGACGGACAGAAATATGTTCAAAATACTCATGATGGATATGTACAAAAGATCCCGTCAAGCTGAAAGTTGCTACTTTAAACTTTTTTAACAACTATCCACTCGTCATTTGCTATGGCATGACTCCCGTTTTATGCAGGTATCTCGCCCCATAGTATCTAAGCCTGCGAAATATTACTGCAGTAGTAAGCAAAATTCTACTGGTTTGATATTACTCTCAAAGGTGACTTTATAGGTGGAGAGGTATTCACCACTGCTAAATATGCTGCAAAATTACCAAAGGTTTAGCCTTCTTTCGTGGCCGAGCCATGCCAGATATGAAAGAATGGTGCATTGATTCCTTTGGACAAACCAATAACCACGCCTTTGAAATCAGCGTAGTTACACGATGAATTTATGGTGTATGATGGGTATATAATCTATGCGAAGGAAGATTGTCGCACCAAAGCACCAAAAACAAACGAAATGAATATCAATCGTATGGTCGTTCACATGTTGGTATGTATGGTCATTATTACAAAAGCTATAAACACATGACAATCAAAATGGGTATTAAAACTAAAAGAGTCATTCAATTTATACGTGTATAGATTATTACTTTATTTCAGAAAATATCTATTAGCGATAAATACTTAGGGAAGAGTTTTCAATTGTTCGATACAAATACAATCTTGTCATTGAGCGTACATACGCTCACATATATATACGTGCATATGTGTGCATGTGTGCATATTTTGTATATTTTTGTAAATTTTTCGCAATAAAGAACCCCAAACACTCTTGTCATTAGGAATTGGGAGCACAAGAAAATTGAGAGTAATTTACAACGCTTTGGCTGGGGCTGTTAAATAATTGAAGGGCGTAACGAGCAATTTAGCACAATCGCAACACAATTACTCGCTTACTGATTTGAAACTTTTAAAATGGAAAAGGTCAAGCCAAGATTAGTAAAAGTTTATGAATATATTTACCTATATACACTTTTTTTTTCTTTGGCGGGAAGTTCCTGCTCCAACTGCCGTTCATACAATATCCATTTTGCGCAAACATACATGTTTTTCGTATCCTGCTGACGAGTTCAATAGCTCTTTACATACCATAGCATCGAAAAAAGTCTATTTTAAATCGTTTCCGCAATGGTATAAAGCATGAACATTGTTTCCACCGAAAATGGAACGTGGTTTTCGGTTTATATAAATTTTGATACACGACCAAAACTCGTAGGTCGTCTTAGATACTTTTTTTTTTAAATATCATTCTGAACAATATTAGAATAAGGTTACTAAATGCATATCTTTCATATATCGTATTTCCGCGGAAGCTTAAGATCACATCACCTGCTTTACAAGTTGTCACAGCGTAAAACCAGAAGCTTTTCTGGAATTGACATTGATTTGATGTGCTTTAACATTCACCATCGGATCATCGCTAACGCCTGCTGACAACATTCAACCCAACCCACGTTCACTTTCTCACAAATTTTAAAAGCTTAATTTGACAAATATTTAGAAAATTTTTTGAATTGTAATTCTGATCAATAATGAGCCGTATCAAGGCTACGGTTAATGAAAGCCATTAACAAGTGCTACTATTTCATCAGTACTTGTGTCTTTGCACATAGTTTCATCAACTATGCTATATACAATCGGGATTTCGTATTAAACGAAGGAGACAGAGGTAGATCTCTCTCCATACTACGAGAATACTATGCCCGTACGCGTAGTATAAAGCGTTTTTTTTTCGCTGCAGAATTTTCAGGTCGTAAGGCGCCCGTAAAATCTAACCAGAACCTTTAATTATTTCTTTCTTTTTTCGCTTTCTTCTCTGCTTATTTCCGGCCGGGAGTTGCGAGGCATCGGAATAATCTTCCAGCTGACAGAAACTTGGGAGCTAGAACGTCTTATTGCGGAAGTTTTGTCGTGGCTGCGTCGGTCCGAAATCACTGGAAGAGCTTGCTCAGAGCGGAGTTCACGTTTTGTTGCGAATATGAGGTACTGGCACGTCAAACCGAAAGAAAGAAGTTGTAGTTGCCTATTTACAATGGGTAAAGCGTTCGGGGTCAGCGTTTTTCCGAATGTCATGCATTATTTTAGGAAAATCGCTTTCGACTAATGGTTCCGTTTTATCTGGTAGCATTTCTTCAAGATCGTGAAACTGTGCATGTCTGGCTGCAAAAATAAAATTAATAATTTAACCCGTGATGTATTTGTGTGAAAAATAACCTACTTGTCCTCGCTTAAATTGTAACAACAGCTAAATTTTTGGACCTGAACATACGATCTTAACGTTTGTAATTTGGTTAAATAAATATACGCTGAACCGCCGCTAGTAATCAGTGCCAGGTGCCTAACAATCGTTTTAGCAAACGAATGATCTGTGCTTTTTGCAAGTTTTTCCGTAGGTAAGCATCCAATAAGCGGAACTTCGGCTCTGTAAATTGAGAAAATGAAGATATTTTATACGGAAATGTCGTTGCTGTATTTCACCTACGGTAATTCCTCTTCAAAATCCGTAGGACGGGTGAAAGCAGTTACATCTCTACTAGAAAAGCGCAAACAGACGTAGTCTTCGCCAAACGATTTGCTGTCTTGTCATTTACCAAAATGCAGCCGTTGTAATATCCCATACCAGGCACGACAAGAGCAGTGACCAGTGGACTAGAAGTATTTTTTTTACAAATTCCAGTTCTGTAATTCGATCTGTTACTATGCCTCCATATTCCATCAGAAGTGCTTCTAATAGAGAATATTTCCAAAGTGAAATATTTTTCGATGACAATTTCAAAGATCGTTTCCTGTTGAGAGAACTTTTCGAAGTTATCCTTCAGCAGTACTTTACGTAGACCTTTTTATAGGAACTTAATGTTTATCATATTTTAGTAATAGTACGAACAAGGAAACCAAATTTCCGTAAATCTTTTTTTTCAGACTATTTGTTTAATTGTTGCCATGAGAATAATTGTTGCAGCAAATAGGCATTTGTTTCCCGAAATCTTTTTTGTAATTTGAAAGAAAATATAAATAAATTCAAATATTTCTAATAATGCCGACAGACGATCAAAATTTTTGAAATCATTTAAGGCCTTTACGCAATCAGGTTTCATGGCCTTTTGAAGCGCGAGAATGATGTTTGCGTAGATTACTTTCAATATACTCAATTTTAATTCCCACACTTGAAAAAGTAATCAAGCGTCCTTGCGTTTAAGGTCCAAATCTTAAGGTGACAATTTAGAAGGACAGTTTCATTAAATTTTGCAATCGGTTGTAAAAAATTTCGATCAAATAAAAAAATACGACGATAACACAATCTCAATTTAACCATATTCTGCATTTACTCGAAATCAATTCCGCAAAAATAACTGTTCACACATTTTTGTATATGTACGGCATATGTGCGTACCCCGTATGGTTTATAAGTTTTTCCCGTGACAAAGATCTCCAAACACGCTGACCATTGCGAATTCTTGACAATATTAAACAATAACGACCGATGATGTCGAATAATCGTTAAGACTGTTAAATTACGATTGAGATGTATTCTTATTGACCATTCGTCATTTGAAGATAACAATCAATTTTTTTTTCTTGTTGAACACTTGACAATGTATGAAATTGCCGAAATGAAAGATTTAAACAGTGACGCCTACTTTACATTAAATCTATTAAAAACATGTATTTGAAAACGTAATAATATCTCATCATATTATATTTGTTGAAAAATCTAAATTTTTGCTAGATATAGTTATCAAGAGGACTCTAATAAGCCTCTAAACAAAAATTAATCAATTTAATAAAAATTGCGGCGAAATCATAGTTTAATTGTGCGGTAACTCTGTTTAGGGACGACGTATAGTATGTCGGTAAGTTTCTGTGAACTTTTTTTATGCTACTTTCTTCACTTACTATTTAGTCTTTATTTTGCTTTGCTGAAAAGCGTTTGATTTTAGTGAGTCCGCTCGAATTTGTAAAGCATTTTTTTGAGTGAGAAAAGAGAGTAAAAGAGAAATTTTAAGACATTTTCATTTTGAACGAAAAATAAACAAACATATTGTCCAAAATATAATCAACGGCGAAAAATTATACGTCTTATAAAATAAACATCAAAAAATACTAAGTGTAACAAATTCTTATTAGAATTTTTTTTAAATAAAAATATAACACGCACATATACACACGCATATAAAAACACCCCTTAAAAAAGAAAAATTCGAAGGGGAGGCAAGTAAGAGAAAAAAAAAAGAAGAGACAGTAAATAAATGTAGTGGTCTTTATATTAGTGTTGGTGTTCCTTTAGTAAATTTAAAGGACAAGTGAATAGTATAAAAGAAGTTATTGCAGAAAAAAATTGTTTATTTAATTCAAAAATTGCAAAAAAACTCTACGTTTATTAATAAATTCTGTTTAGTGCGCCTTTCCGGGCCATGCGTGACCTCGGCTCTAAGATGGCCGAGCTTAAATTTGAGGCTCCTTTGGCAAAACTTGACGAAACCGATGACTGGGCTGGTTGCGATTATATCTCCAATCAAAACACACTAAGCGATTCTTTAAATTTAAATCTCAAAGATCCTTTGGCTGCCCAGGAAAATAAGATGCGTTTGTTAGAGGAGGCCGTACGTGATGCTCACGTCAGTAAAAATGGTTCACCATTTGCTACTGGAGGTCTTAGTCCCAATTGTAATAGTTTGTTAGCTGCCGAAATGGGTTTCGATGGTTTTGCTGGCGGTGATTGCAATAACGAAATGACTTCTGGCATGGGCAAGGCCGCCTCATTTTCTATGGAAACTGTCGACAATTTCGGCGAAACATTCGGTGGCAGCTTAGAAGATTTGGTTAATACGTTCGATGAGAAAATCACCAAATGTTTTGGTAACTATGAAGAGAACGTAGAAACATTGGCACCCGTACAAGTCCGAAGCCAGGAAGAAATTATGAATGAATGCCAGTAAGTTTTAAATTTAAAATTCATTTATTTTTGTATTGATTTTGTTCTGATTTTGTTTTACAACATTTATTGATATTGGAATTTCTTAAAAATAAACGCTGGTTTGTCCTGATTTACTTTGCGTTAAGGTATAAATTTTGCTCCTTTTCGCAGCGCCTGCGCTTTGCTGTCAATAAGTTTTATAACTTTATTCTATTAAAACATAAAAAGAGAAAACGACGTAATATTAGGTGTTCAGGTTTCTTGTATGTGCATTAGTTAAGCGCTGATTGTGCCTTGTATCTGTTATACATCTTTACTCTAAGCTTTTTATGAGAGTATTCCTTTGCTCTTTTGACTGAAATCAATAGAGATATGTGTTTGTACGCGGATATCTTGAAAGTAGAATAAAAATGTTGCTAAAATTTATACAGAGTTTTTTTACTAGTTAGCCTTTTATTGAAATTCTTTGCCGATCGTTCGATTTTTCTCGCTTGCTATATGGTATATTCCAATGCCTTCTTTTTAAAACCAAAATCGTAACGGCTAGCATGCCGCATTAACGGTTGTTATTGACCAATGGTATCTGGTGTCGTTCTTCAGACGACAGATGTTCTCCTTTACCTTACGCTTTTTGTGAAGATATTTTCATTCGTCTTCTTGGCTTGCAGCGATTTTGCCTACCAAGAGAATCATCGATTGATTAATCGGAAAATCTTTATCATCCTGGCTTAAGATTCAAGATTTTCATAATTTGCAGAGTTGCGCGCCGTTGTTTGATTAAACCTAAACTTTCTAAAAAGAGGAGAGACAATTTCGCGACGCTACTTCGAAAGAAGTGTGACATAGTCTGATATGAATAATGACATAATAGCAAAACATAGATAAGTAGCATAAATGAATGGCAAAAGTAAACAATACGGCCTTGAAAAAAGTAAGACATCACCTCAAAAGAATCATGATATAATCTCAAAGGAAACAAGACATAACTTTAAAACACACATGACTTATCCTTAGATGAAGCCTGACATAAATTCGAAAGTAGTTCAGCATAACCATAAAGCAAGAGTGGAAGGAAAATAGTTGTGAAAAGAACCGATGCGGCGATTGAACTAAATTATAAAGAAAAATTTTGAAATGAATCTATGGAAAGCAGCTTTGTATTGCTGCTAACAAGCCCCGGCCCCCTGTATAAACAAACAACACTGACTAGCAAAGCAAACATAACCATGTGCATAAGCATACCTTAAATTTCAGTTTACCTTAAAAAAAAGGTCAAGTATAATAAATGTTCTGCCAGAAGCGTTAACTCATCCATGTATTGCCGCAGTGAAGACTTGCATAAATAATATTCGATTGACATACAAAGTAATTTAACTAGTGGTTGCCTAGGAAACATTGTTGTGAATGAAAGTGTATAGAACTACATGTTTATCTGATGCCACATAACTCGAGCAATAACAACAATAACAAGAGCCAAAGCATAATATCTCAAACAACAACAAGTCTTACATTTATGGGGAACCATTGAAATGTGCCGGTTATGTAAAGGATGATAAGTAAAACGCAATAACAGAAACAAATATTTTGTTGTTTTCCAGTTGCTAGGCTTACAAAATTTACATTCACTACTTTCCGTTTCCCCTAATAGCTAATAGTAAACCATATAACCAATGGAAAGTACCTTTGGTACCTTTCGCTGTAGTCTTGACAGTTTAGTTACTTAACCATTACCATTAGCGAATGCAAAGCTAATACATTCGTAAATTACTCTTATTTACCAAAGTGTAGTAAATAAAAAATTCTCTTTGCAATCTTTAAAAGCACGTTTTATGGCCCCGATATGATTCAGCCTTCGCTGTTCCGCTCGCGCGTATGCGTCCCAGTCGAAGGCATACGAACGTATACCGGCAATAGATGTCAAAATTATTTTGCGGAGATTTTCATCTTCAAAACGGTTATCATTCGCCGCCAGGGCCAGGCAACAGGCGTAATTTCAATAATGATTAAGGACATACCTGCAGATATTTCAAAGATTCTTGCGCAACTGAGATTTACTCCAGCTGTTAATTACTGCAAAAGTCTGAAACGTGCTTAACATTGTTTTTTCCTCCGGCGGGTTCTTTGTTCGTTGAATTTCCGACTGAGATAAACGACGAAGTAAATGATTGGATAAATTTGATCTTCCTTTTACAAAAGCTCTCTGATAGCTTTTTGAACATTTTACAAGTTCTTGTGCTATTGTTCTAAAATTTCGTGCAAATACGGTCATTGCGCAAAAGAAACGGCCGATCGATTAAATAACAAAATCACAACTAATAGAAGGAGTTTACTTTTGCGAGGCTAATGGGTTATTCCAGATTCGCTTTAAGCTTTTCATAATAATTCGTTTACCGTTAACTTAATTCTTCAAATGCATTTAAGAAAGGGAAACGAAACGGTCAGCCAAAAGCATTTCTAAATAATTAATAGGTAAGCGAATGGATTCCAGCTGTTCTTTTTTTTTTTTTTTTTTTTTTTTGATAAAATTTAACGGTATTTGAAATACATTTTAGCCGAAGCTTAACAATCGATATATGCATCAGCATTGGGCATCAGGTTTGGCAGGCGACGAAATACCCATGCATCCATTTTCGCATATGTTCAACTTCTGTGAACTTATGACTGCGTTGATCAGAATAAACGGTAATCGGAAGATGCTACGTGTAAAGGGGGAGTATCTCAAGCTGCGACAAAAATGTATTTCAAATAAATAAAAAAAAATTTTAATCGTTTTCATGGATTGAAAGTTTTGCGCAATATTTCGAAAACTACTTTGTAACTGCTTTGTAGTTGATTGCATTTTCATTCCAAGTCAATTTAATCAAGCTTTAGCTGCATTTTTTTTCATATCTCTCTAGGATTCATACATATCTAAAATTTCGGGAATTTATTTATACACCCAATGAAATTATTCTGAAAATATATTTTTAAAAATGACTCCCTATAAAATTCTCATAAATTTTCTCGCTTATTAATTTGCTTGACACGATACACCAATTGGTTGCGTCTTGGTTGAATTCTTTTTTTTTTTTTTTTGTTTTTTTGTTTTTTTGTTTTTTTCTATTCTACTTTTGCATTCTTCACCACTCAGGCAATCGTTGCACTCATCTTTATCGCTGTTAAAGTTTATTGCAGACAGTACAACATTTATTGCACTTCTATGTGTATAACTTCAGCCACACTTTAAACACTTTTCAGCATTGTATCCCATAATACAACTGACCGTTCAGTGCGGTTTTGCCGCTGACAAATAATCTAGATTGGAATAACAATGCATAAAAAATCATCAACTTCCTGCTTAAGCCCTTAATTCCCTCGTATATGTAGATGCTTTTATTCGTGCATTCACTCCAATGGTTAAATAATCAGATAAATATATGTTGGAAAAAAAAGAAAAAAAGAAAAAACCAACTATCATGTATTTCTTATGACTGAAGAGATTGAAAGAAAAACTTCCTGAATTCAGGTCAGTTAAGAAAAAAAGAAAAGAATTTTACATAAAAACCATCATAATTTTATAATAACTATAAGATTGACTCTTTATCCATCATCGGCCGGATGAGAGTTAAACAGTGGACACCTCAGATGTCCTAATAAGAGTAATGGCATTTGTTTAATTACTAAACAGTACAATTGATGACTTGATTTGTAATTGCATGCACAAAGGATGCCTCTCGTGTTAAGATAACTTCTGCCCTGTAACCGATAGCTTGAACTTTGAATTATCTAAGGCACTGTATTTGGCCGGTTTTCACTAAAGATGGCTTTACGCCATCTATCAGACTTTATTAGCGGAAACTTTTTAGATGATCGTTTCACACTTTATTCAAGTTGAGAATAGTCTGACGAGCAACGCAACTAGTATTATGTTTCACGCAACCAGATAATTCAACCAGTAAATCGAGTCAAGTTTGACCTCGAGATCAGAATTGGTTTAGCATGAGCAAGTTTACTCTCTGCCTTCAATACCTATCTTATGGCGTCCGATGGCACATTGAGTTTATTCGATAATCGATAGTTAAAGCACCGTAACGAGTGTAGAACGATTTCCATTTACGTTGGGCATACTGCCGCTCAAGTTGCAGACTAAGAAAGTGTTAGGTATGAGCAATCCTTCTAGCAAATCTGGTCATAGTCAAGGCTTAAAAGCATGAGCAGTGATTGGTCGGGTCTTTAAAAACAATATTTAGATGAGTAACTATGCAAAGGTGAAATGGTTTGAGCCAAAGAAAACATATCCTTTCCATTACACAGCTGCCGTTCTTCCGCTTATCGCTTAAAGGGGGTGACGTTCGACGAGTATTACGACAATTTGTTTCATATTCATTTCAAGATAATTTACGATTCGAAAGAAATCTTGCTTGCGCGCAACACTGTAATTGAAATCGTTAGCTATACTTAGTTATTATAAGATGCTGTTTGCCCTTAATGTATATATAATATATTGTTTATATATATATATTTATTTATATTATATTGTAATGTATATAATTAAGATCTATAAACAGCTTAGACTTCAGCAAATATTGTAGAAAATGTATTTTAACATTGTTTTTGTAACTCTCTAAAGGCATGTAAGCGGAAACCTCTAGCAATATATATATATATATATATATATATACATTTGTATGTGTTTGTGTGTATGTGTCGTTTGCCGTTTGCTGTTTTTTATTTCTTTTTGCTTCCACATAAATGTAAACCAGATTCCATAGTGTGCACTTATGCATTCTGTGAAGAATCTCCAGCAGCAAACCAAGCAAAAGAAAAGAAAAAAAGAAAAAGATTTTAAGACAGCAAACGGTTAAAGACATCAAGTGAAAATTATAAAGAAACTTAAACGTGATTTATAATGAAAACAGAAACCACTATCTGTATGCCGCGATATGGAGGTTCGGTTATTGAGAAATCCCTGAAGTTGCGTTGTGTTCTCTTTCCTTTTCGAACACATATGGAAAACAAGTTTTATGGCAGTTAATTTT